TTGAAACTTCCATGGCTCATGCGCAGAAGTCGGTTTTCGGAAAGTAGATAGAGGAAACAAGTACACAAGACTAGTGTGGGTGGGAGAGTTGGAAGGGGTCGACCTCAGCAAACATACCTCAATCAGATTGAGGGAGTGTGGCTCTTCCTAACCCTTAGGAGTATCCTAATTAAGTTAATAACAATGTACCTACCTATATAGTTTAAATGTAAAAAATTTGGCTCTCAAAAGAAATTTCAATCTTTGTACTGTTGATATTTGGCTGTGTTGACTAATTAGTTTGCCGACCATTGTTCTATACTCTTTTTGATATTTCAATAGAGCAGCAACTATTTTCTCATTCACAGATCTGATGATCATCAACCAACCTCCAAATCAATCATCCCTCTCAAATGAAAGCCCCATGCTGGCAGATATTTTCATAAGAATCATGTAATCTTCATCCTATTTATAACTTATAATAACAATGTCACTACTTGAGAATGAAGGTTTTTGTCCAAATTTCAGTTATAAGCACAGAATTTAAAATCAGTCCACTGGGACTCTCCCAAGTCACCAATGACCTGCTGACTTTTGAAATCCATGTCCATAAATCCTTTCCCACTCTTGTTTTAGTTAACTACTCAGAAGCATCTGTTCTTAAAATCTCTCCTCGAATCCCACATACCTACTTCTTCTATTTCCTATCTCCTCCTTATTAGTCTCCTATCAGAAGAAGATCTCCATGCTCTGCTGAGGACTCTGGGCTTAATCATACCATATACACATGAACCCTAAAGAACTGTAAGTTTGGAAGTGACAAGATCAGATTTGCATTTTAAAAAGATCAGCCTGGTGGTAACATAGGAGGCTAACTGGAAGCGACTGGAGGCAATGAAGTTAGAAAACTATCACTAAAAGGAAGGAAATAATGAAACCTTGCTCATACCTCATGTCTCTGGATTTACTGTTTAGAATGCCTATAATGTCCTTTCATCTTTCTACCCCTGGGCCACTGGAAAATTCTTATGTCATACTTCAAGACTTAGCTCAAGTCCCACCTCCTCTCTGAAACGTACTCTACTCCTTCTGACTCCTTGTATTACTTCCTTCTCTATATCCCCATAGCCATTCCAATGCAGTCCCTACTTATCTACCTCTATCCCTGACCATTAGCTTGGTGAGATCATTCATCTGAAGGACACAGAAAGGTATAGTGAAAAATAATCCTGTCTAGAAGTCCCAGCTGTGATATTTCCTAGCTGGTGATCATGGGTGAATTGATTACTCTCTTTATATCAGTTTTCTAATCTGTAAAAGGGAGATAATAAAATTAACTCCAGGGTTACTGGGAGATTTAAGAGCATAATATATACAAAGAGATAAATACAGTGGCTAGTACACAGTAGCACTAGTAAAGCCTAATACAGAGCCTAGGTCATAGTAGACATAATCAATGTTCAGTCTGATGAATGAGTAAAACAGTAACATGAATAAGTATTAATGATATCACATTAAAACACAACAAAAAGTCTATAATTAAAGTTTGGTCTGTCACAACGTAAGAAGGTAAGCCTTTTCTTTCCTCTACTTATTTATAATTTATTTAAGTCAGGATTTTTTCCAAGTTGGGTTTCCTTGAGATAGTTTCCATCGCCTCTTAAGGTTCTTAGGGAGCTCAAAGAAAGGGTTAGAAAGGATGATAGAGCAAGCAAATGGAGATCTGACCAAATATCATTCCCCTCCTCTGAAAACTGTTCACTAGAACAGCTCTTCTTTCAACTGACCCATGTAGTTAACAAAGATTTTATTTAAAAAGTATTACCTAGCTGCTAAAATTTGTTTGAAAAGACTGACTGTTTCTTACTAAGGACTCCGACTACAAAATGCTTTCATTAATCAACACTTAACTTCATTTTCTCAGAGGTCAACTTTTGCTTTTAATAAAAGGCTATCCATATGTTTCTCCTGAACTTTTCCAGTTTAAAACATACATGACATAGATAAATATAGATACAGCTATGTAGATGCTACAGAGCCAAAGAATAATAATAAGGGGATCATACACCCAATGTAGGTCATAATAATAGGCAGAACCAGGCACATCTTGGAAAGTATAAACTCTGGCCCTGGACAATGTAGCTCAGGTGGGTGGAGCATCATCTCATATACCTAAAGGTGGCAGTTTTGATTCTGGTCAAGGCATATACCCAAGTTGCAGGTTGTTCAATCCCCGGGCTTGGTGCTTAAGAGAGGCAACCAACTGATGTTTCTCACACTGATGTTTCTCTCTCTCCCCTTTCCTCTCTCTTAAATCAATATTTTTTAAAGTATAAACTCTGACTCATTACCTTAATGGTCACCTCTTTTCCTGCAATCCGGACAGTAACAGAAGCTTGGGAGAGGTGATTTTCAGTCATCCTTTCCACTCTCACAATCTCTTCAGGAAGCAAAGAGCTTCTTGAATCTTGGAGTTCAAAGCGCTGTAAAATTACAAGAAAAACATGGACTTTTCATTTTAGTATTAATGTTGGATATCTTGAAGATTCTGTCTTATTAGAACTGAAACTCACTCTACATTATAAAGGTAGAGGTAAAAAAATTAAAGAGAATTTTTTTCCTACTTTCATGAATACCATTCTACTTACGCCAATTACTAAAAGTGATATGAAAATAGTCCCCAAATTTTACTAAGGACAGGAAATGGAATTATTGAATTTCTGACTGGTAGAAGTTCTCAGCCTACATTTCTTGATAATAAAAATGTCCAGTTTCGCAGAAAGGGATGATGAAACTCATGAAAATATGTAAAGTAAAATAAGGTCTGTATCAGTTGATTTCTTAAATAAACTGACCTGAAATTCATGAAACCAGAACTTCCTAGACATAATTCTGCTGTTTGTGTATGTGGTTAGCTTAACTGATTACAATGAATTATAACAACCAATCTTCCACAGTATCTGGCACAGTGCCTTCTACAGTGTAGGTTCTCAATATTATCAAACTGGATTTAAAAGGCCAACACCATTGACTCTTTCTCCATGTGGGCCAATTAGCAATGCTCTAACTTGGTGATACCCCCTAGTTATGTAAAAAAGGCACAGAGAAAACACAAATAAGTATATGAAAAACGAGAATACTAATTTAAAATTAATTAAATACTATGGCCTACTAATAGCAGCATGTTCAATATGAAAAGCTTAATTCATTTTAGTATTAAACAGGCAGAAATAATTGCTCCCCGAATCCAACAATAACATTATCACTACAGTGAAAGATTAAACATCAATGAAAGAATAGATCACCACTTACTCAACAGAATAACACAACCCAAGAAAATAGATTTTTTAAAAGAAAATTATCTTCAACCTCAACATTCTAAACATAGCAGACTAGTTCAAATCTTCGTTTGGTATCATAAGTATTTAAGACAATCACTCACTCCTTTCCCCAAACCTAAGAAAAGTTATCTGTTAGTGCTACTACACAGAGTAAGTTTTACACTTTATACATTTTATATATGCAAATTCCCATAGTATCACATAATTTGGTAGGAACTGCTTCCATGTCATAGGCATATGACAATTATTGACACTTCAAGTTCTTGCAAAAAATTACACTGTATTTTGAAGGAGATTTAATAGGAAAGGAATAAGACCTTAGCCAAGTGTTTAAATTCATGAGTTTAGAACCTAGAGCCATTACATTCTAAGAAAACAAACATATGTACTTAAAGGTATGTTTTTACCCCACCTATAATACTGTCAGTCTAAGTCAGCGGTTCTCAACCTGTGGGTCATGACCCCTTTGGGGGTTGAACGACCCTTTTACAGGGGTCGCCTAAGACCATCGGAAAACACATATATAATTGCATATTGTTTTTGTGATTAATTACTATGCTTTAATTATGTTCAATTTGTAACAATGAAATTGGGGGTCACCACAACATGAGGAACTGTATTAAAGGGTCGTGGCATTAGGAAGGTTGAGAACCACTGGTCTAAGTTAATATAGGATTGATGTCAGAGCACTTATATTCCAGAAATGAAAATAATGCCTTGAACCATTTGCTAAACTGGTTACATCATTATAAATAATTCAAGCTAAAATATTTCAGTAGAATAATAATAGTAGGCTAGAATAAACTAAGATAGTAAAAGAACTCAAGTTGAAAGGTGAATTATCATTGCCAGCATAGGAAATTTAGAAGACTGTTGATCAAAAAGGCAACTGAGGAGTAAAATCCTATGTAATAAAAGCCTAATATGCTGTATCCAGTGTCCGGTCGGCCGTTCAACCAAAGCGTAATCTATATATATAAAAGCCTAATATGCAAAGTGTCTCCTCAGGAGTTCAACCAAGCGGGAGTTCAATCACTCGCTATGATGTGCGCTGACCACCAGTGGGCAGTGCAGAACGAAGGTAGACCCAGGTCAGTAGCCAGGGAAGGGAGGTCCCTGGTGGCAGTTGGCAGCCGCTAGGGACCCTACCCATGCAAGAATTTCGTGCACTGGGCCTCTAGTATGCTAATAATATGCTAAGACCACTCAACAGCTCGCTATGATGTGCACTGACCACCAGGGGGCAGAAGCTCCGACTGGTAGGTTAGCTTGCTGCTGGGGGTCTGATTGATGGGGACTGAGCAAGACAGGCCGAACACGCCCTGGAGCCCTCCCAAGGTCCCTTCCTGGCTGGCCAACCTCCCATGTCTCTTCCCGGCCCCGATTGCGCACTGGTAGGGTCCTTCAGCCTGGCCTGAACCCTCTCGCAATCTGGGACCCCTTGGGGGATGTAGGAGAGCCAGTTTCGGCCTGATCCCACAGGCCAGGCCAAGGGACCCCACTGGTGTACAAATTTGTGCACCGGGCCTGTAGTAGATATATAATTATTATAGGCTACATCTTAGCGAGATGTAGAAAACCAAGTTTATTTACTTTATCATTTTATATTAATGACTATTTCCTGTGAAACCTTGAATTTCAATTAAACAAACAGTACCAATGTGTTTTTGTTACACTTTCTTTGGGATTACATTATTTGAACTGTGAAGTATCTACACTAATAAAAGAGAAACATGCAAATTGGTGTCACTCCACTAAGTTCACCAGCCAATCAGATGGGTATGCAAATTAACCCAACAAAGATGGCGGTTAATTTGAATACATAGGCGCCCAGCAGCCTGGGTCCTGGGAACATCATCGGTCACTCCAAGGTGGCCCCATGTGGGCCCTGAGCAGCATAGGAAGGGCCTGAGCCAGGGGGTTCCTGGGCAGGGGCAGAGAAGGCCATCGGAGCTGCGGGGGAGGGGGGGGCCCTGCCCAAGCTTAAAGCCTCAGCCAGAGGCATTATGCCTGAGCGGGGGGCAGAGCCAGCGATCAGAGGGGTCTGGGGCTCCCCTGCCCAGGCTTGAGCAGGGGCGTCAGGCCTGGGTGAGGGGCTGATTCAGCAATCGGAGGGTGATGGGAGTCGACACATCTGGCTGAGGCGTCAGGCCTGGGCTGGGGGCCGAGCCGGAGATCAGTGTGAACTACAGAGGAAACACCTTTTCTGACCGCTCATTGGCTAAGCTCCCTGTATGCCACTGGTAATATTCTTAGTAACTTGGGTAATAAGAATCCAAAAAGGTGATCTAGGGTTTTTCACCACACTCCTGGCAAAAAAACAAAGGTCCGCTGCTGGAGGGCTAAAAATGTCATATCCTGCCCTAGCCGGTTTGGCTCAGTGGATAATGCCTTAGCCTGCGGACCACAGGGTACAGGTTCGATTCTGATCAAGGGCATTTACCTAGGTTGCAGGCTCCTCCCTGGGAGCATCAGCCCGGTTGCCTCCCACAAAGGGAGGCCAGACTGCAGCTTAGGCCCGCACCCAAGGGGAGAAGGGAGCAGGCCTAACCCATCAGTAGGACATCCCCTGCGGACTCCCAGTATGTGAGAGGGGGCAGGCTGGGCTGAGGAACCCGCCCCCCCCCCGCTCCAGTGCACGAATTTCATGCACCAGGCCCCTAGTAATTAAATAAAAGGAAACGTAAATCACAAGGACGTTGGTCTGCAAGGCCTCCATATTCACCCTCACAATTCCCAATCCTGACCCACCAAGCTATTTATTTTCTTCATACCCTTTTCTAAGCTTTTGAGCACTAACAGAGAAAATCACCATACCATATTGTCTGGCTACTGAATAAATATGATGTAGCCTCCAGTCTCTGCTGGGCTCTTCCCAAAGCCCTTTAGCAACTGATATAAACCATTACTTTTCTCCTTAGGAGTCTATCTGAACTCATTCATCCCTGTCTCAGCAGGTAATCTAGTTGCTTCTGCCACACACATCAGAGCCTTCAGGCACTTCACACTTCACAAGAATATTAACCCCATTAGAGCAATATCAAAATGTATCTATTTGGTTCACTCTAAATCTCCAGAACCTAGAATCAGACACAAAGAAGATAGTCAATGGTCAGGAAAGATTTGTTAAATGAATAAACAAATTATTTTTCCTTCATCCTCAAAATCATCTACATTTTCATCAATGCTTAATTCTTTCCCACTGTCTCAGTAAAAAGGACTTCTCCTTTCATTATGAGTTGATGGAAAATCAGTAGAAGTCTACTTTCTCCATCTCAGTTTATGATCATTCCAGTTGCTAGGTACAAAATATGTTTTCCACTATTCCAAATCAGGGTACAATGATGCTCTGGAAATGTCCTTTCCTGCCTCCCCCAGACCATATTTCTATAAGTATTTTCCATGCTCTCCACAGATTTTGTCCCTTTTTCCTATGAAGTCATTTGTCTCCCCATTCCAAGAAACAAACAAAAAGCCATTTCTTAATTTTACATCATCCTTGAGTGACCCACCACCTATTTGTTTCTGCTCACCATCAAACTTATTTTACAAGTAAGTAAATAATCACTGTTTCATCTTCCTCAACTCTGAGTTACTATTTGGCCCACTAATTTATGGCTTACAATCCCACCACTCTATTTGCACTGCTCCTGGTAAGTCAACCAATAATATCCTATTTACCAAATTAAATAAATTACTTCTCTTATTTTACTGTTTCCTCCTTCTCAGTCTCTCTTGCAGGTCCTTCTTCACTACCTGAGCAGTACATGTTAGGTTGCTTTAAGAGTGGATCTTTTATATTTTCTACCTATGTTCACTTTGTAAATAATCTTATCCAGTTTGACTCCTACTTTTCTCTCTCCTAGAAATGCATACTCTCTTAAACTCCTGATTTGTATATGCAACTGCCCCTTGACATTTCCACTTGCATTTTAAATTCAATAAACACAAGACTCAGGTCTTGATCTTCCTCCCATGTTGTCGATCTCCAACTTCATTATTCCAGGTGCTCAGTCCAAAAAGCTTGAAATTATCCTTAACTCTTTGTCTCAACCCTACTTCCAATTCTTCAGCATATCACATTCTATCTTCAAAATATGACCCAAAAGCAACCACCTCTTACCAAACTCAAAGCTGGTCAAAGCCACACTCTCTTAACTAGATTACCACAACAACCTACCAACTGTTTTTTTCCCTGCTTTCACCCTTATTCTCCAGTCTACTCACTTTTTAGTAACTTGAGTCAGCCTGTTAAGAGGTTCAGTTTAAGAGCTTCCTATGCTCAAAATCTTATAATGACACTAGTGCCTGGTGCATGGATTCATGGACAATGAAAGGAAATTAATTAGAAGAAATATTTTAATATCACTATCTTTCCCTTCTATAATAGAAGTGTCAACCAAATTCAACCTGAAGTCATTTTCAAGGTCCACCATTTCTTACTTCTTTTCAGTCAGGTCAAGTTTCTAAGTTTTCTAAATCTCCATTTTCTGGCTAATGAGCTGTGATTTGGTAAGGTGTCACTCCGGGCTGGTGGCGGAGCCTGTGTCCCACTTGGGGGAAGCCAAGAGTTGCTTTGTGGACGCCAGGTCCACAGTGCCATTTATTATTAAACTAGAGGCCCGGTAAATGAAATTCATGCATGGGGGGAGGGGGTGCCCCCTCAGCCCGACCTGTGCCCTCTTGCAGTCTGGGACCCCTCTTGTCACTCTGAGTTGGTAGAGGGGCCTGTGTCCCACTTGGGGGAAGCCAAGGGTGGCTTTGCCAGCACCAGGTCCGAGGTGCCATTTCTCTTTAAATGGCCAGTGTGCATCAGGGCAGCTCCTGCGTTGAGCGTCTGGCACCTGGTGATCAGTGCACATCATAGCGACCAGTTGGATGGTCGGACACTTAGCATATTAGCCTTTTATATATATAGATATATATATAGATTCTATCTCATTCAAACTGAAGGCAATAACCTATAAAGCCCCACATGATCTAACATCCTTTACCTAGTGACATCATGTCCTCCTCACCTCTTCTTCCCTCACCCTGCCCCCCTCACACTGTCCTTTGCTATTCATAAGATATCCTAGGAGTGCTCCTGCCTCAGGACTTTTACAGTGATTATTCCTTCTCCTTCAAAAGCTTTCCTCCCAAAAATGGAACTCCAATTTGACCCAGTAATCCCACTCCTGGGAATATATCCCAAGAAATAAGAAACACCAATCAGAAAGGATATATGCACCCCTAAGTTCATAGCAGCACAATTTACAATAGCTAAGATTTGGAAACAGCCTAAGTGCCCATCGTCAGACGAGTGGATTAAAAAACTGTGGTACATCTAAGTACACAACAGAATACTACGCCGCTATAAAAATGAAGGAACTTTTACCATTTGCAACAGCATGGATGGAACTGGAGAGCATTATGCTAAGTGAAATAAGCCAGTCAGAGAAAGATAAATATCACATGATCTCACTCAAATGTGGGATATAGTGATCAACATAATTTGATGAACAAGAATAGATCCAGAGATAAATGGCAGAGGAGGAGGCAGTTAGAGAGCAACCAAAGGACTTGTATGCATGCATATTAGGATAACCAATGGACACAGACACTGGGGCAGTGGGGCTTGCCCGGGGTGAGAATGGCTGGGGGAGTGGGGTCAAGCAGGAAAAAAGGAGATATATGTAAAACTTTAGACAAAAGAGAAAGAGAGGGAGAGAGAGAGAGAGAGAGAGAGAGAGAGAGAGAGAGAGAGAGAGAAACTAAAAAAAACGAGTTCATACCAATTTCTCCAATTCCAGTATAATACCTGAGGGTTCTTTCATCTTCCCTTTCTGTTTATAAATTCCTGCTCCAACAGTGAAAAATGCAGATCTTATTCTCCTCAATATATTCACTTATTTGTTCAACTGATTTACATATTTACTCAGTATAACCAATCTCCCAACCACACCAGCCACCTCAATGCTTGCTGCCCCCATCTTTGGCATGCCAATACCCCTATGCCTACAAAGAAAAGGGAAAGGAAGAGACAGAAAAGTAGGAAAGGATAAAGGAAGAGATGGGAAGAGGGTAGAAAAGAGAAGGGAAGGGAAGGGAAGGGGGAGTGGGTTGGGTAGGTGAAGGGTAAGGAAAAGAGAAAGGGAAAGGGAAAAGGAAAGGGAGAAGATACTTACTTTTAAAACATCTTCCACAGCCATCTTCCCTTCCTGTCCTAGTAAAATAGTGTACGGGTAAAGCCAGTGGATTGCATGTTTGATTGACATCATAGGAAAGGAATTCTATTTAGGAGCAAAAACATTATGAGTGAAGAACATCTAAAATAAAGTTGAAAAATTATCTGAAATGTACATATGATATTAAAATTACCTTATAAACACTAACCAATATGGTACTCATATTTCCCAAAAGTCTACATAAGCAAATATTCAGTATTTCTTCTTTTCTTCCTGTTCCACTCCCTTTACTTTGGTAAGCTCTCCCACACCCATCTTTCAGCTACCATCTATGTGTTGATGACTTCCTTGTTTATATCCCTAGTCCTGACCTCTTTCTTGAACTCTAGACTTGAACTCTCAATTGCACATTAGACGTGATTATATAAATATCCCATTGTCCCCCATTCAGTATGTCTGAAACTACATGTCTGAACACATCTACCTACCCTACTTGTCCCAAACTCCCTTCTCCTCTATCTTTATTCCTAATCTTAATTAATCACATCCACATTCACCTAGCTTCAAGGTTATAAATTGCTTTCTCAATTCAGTTCACCTTACTTTTAAAAGTCTATTAACAGAGACAATTAGAGAACACTTAGTATAGACCCTCTATTAGATGATATAGAATTATTGTTAATATGATAATGGTGTTTGGTTATGTAAGAGAATGTCCTAATTCTGAGAAGTTGCATACTGAAATATTAAGAATATTAACTGTTGTGGCCCTAACTGGTTTGGCTCAGTGGACAGAGCATTGGCCTGTGGACTGAAGGGTCCCGGGTTCGATTCCAGTCAAGGACATGTACCTCGGTTGCGGCACATCCCCAGTAGGGGGTGTGCAGGAGGCAGCTGATCGATATTTCTCTCTCATAGATGTTTCTAACTCTCGATCCCTCTCCCTTCTTCTCTGTAAAAAATCAGTAACATATATTTAAAAATAAAGAAAGAAAAAATAAAAAAGAAAACTCACAAAAAAACAACAACAAAAAAGGGTCTAGCTGGGTCTGTAAAAGTGATGAAGTTGGGACGCTTTAAAAAAAAAAAAGAATGTTAACTGTTGTGTACTTTCAAATGGTCCAGAAAAAAAAAAAAAAATCAGAGAGCAAGCAAATGTGGCAATATGTTAACAATTGATGAATCTATTTGAAGGAATTAGAGATGTTCATTTTAATATTTTTAACCCTTTTTAGATTTAAGAATTGTCCAAGCCGAAACCGGTTTGGCTCAGTGGATAGAGCGTCGGCCTGCGGACTGAAAGGTCCCAGGTTCGATTCCGGTCAAGGGCATGTACCTGGGTTGCGGGCACATCCCCAGTGGGAGATGTGCAGGAGGCAGCTGATCGATGGTTCTCTCTCATCGATGTTTCTAACTCTCTATCTCTCTCCCTTTCTCTCTGTAAAAAATCAATAAAATATATTTTAAAAAAAAAAAGAACTGTCCAAGTAAAAAGTTCTGAGCAAAAAAAAAAAAGAATGAAAAGTAAAAGACATAATAAAAAGGGTAAGAAAAACAGAGGTATCTTCCTCCATCCTGTAAATGTACTTTTGCTCACCCCTGTATATCTGATTGCTACACACCTGACCTACTTAATAATGTTTGATAGGCCACTTCTTCCATATAATAAAACCCAGACAACTTTACTCACCATGTAAAGCACTGCACTCTAAGGTTCTAATCCCTCTCTTCACTACACAGGCTTGCTCTAGTGACACAACTTATTCTCCAAACATACCAGGCCCTTTTATGATTCAACACCCTTGTAAGTGCTGTTCCCTCTACCTGGAGGGCCTTTCCACCCTCCAGATACTACTGTCATGACTTTTGTGATACTGTAGTGGACAATGTCACTGCTCCACCAAATCCCCCCAGATCTGTCCTTTTCTTTTCTGTGCATCCAGCTTTCCCTTCAAGCAGCCAGTTGTTACAGGTCTCCCTCCGTCTTTTGAAGATGTCCCTTGAGCTCCTAGAGCCAGCTTTGCTCAAACTGAGAGATTAGCTAGTGCCTGGGAACTTGTGTACTCTGGGACGGCCATTTACCAATGACTGATGGTGCTAGAATGTGAAAGCCCCAGCTCCCTCACATCAGGTAGGGGCAAGTCTGAGTCACAACATACACTGGAGCACACCTCTGTGTGATCAGGCTAAAGTCTTTCTCTCTGTGGAATTTTCACTTGAGTTGCATCCTACCTTCCCCCCTTTAAGACTGAAAGCTCTTCAAGGGCTCAGAACATACCATTGGTCTCTGTCCAGTCTGCTGCACTGCACAATAAATTAATCTCAGTTCTGACAATATTTAAAAAGAATATGTCAAGCGGACTGAAGTGATGAATATCCAAGGATGAACTTTTAAATTCTTTGCCACACTTGGGTACACCAGTCATTAATTTATTCTATACATACCAGGATTTGAACTGCAGCTGGTAAACTATCTAAAGGAAAATCTGGAAGTCCTAGAGTAGAAGATTCTTGGGAACAGAGTGTGGTAGCAAAAGACAAAAGCTGAGAAACTCTAGGGGAAAAAGATAAATGGTATTAAAATTTTATTCTAATAGTTTTCATATATAATATGCACAAATATGTTAAATTTAAGAAAATGACATCTACTATTAGATTATTAAGGAACAAGAGCTCCACATTAAAATATTCCATTTAAAACTCAGAAGATGATTAGATAACAGATGTTTCTGACATCCATCAAAATATGTTAAGTTTTTCATAACCTGGCAGCCTCACCTCACAATCTCAATCTAAACCTATCTCTAGCCACCAGCCGCTTTTTATAGCCTCAAAAATGAGACATACTCTCATATCCCATGCTTTTAAAAATATTCTTGGAATTCCTTAATTCCATTATCTATCTGGCAAAACCTACTCATTCTTTAGGACCCATCTCAAATGCCAATGCCTTATGAAGTCCATAGAAACTCTCAACTACAATTTGAAAGTATTACCTTATTATACTGTGTTAAACTATTTTAAATATTCAAATTATCTTTAACCTCTTCTAGATGTTGAGTTTCTTACCATCAAATATCATATCTTTATCATGATTTTTATCTTATTATCTTCTTTGTTATTTTTATCATCAGCACTTACTACAACTACTAAAAAATTCTTCAAAGAATTGTTGTCAAATGAACGAATGAATCAATCAATGGGCAATACAAATTCAATGTTAAGTGTCCAGATATTTACATAAAAATATATAATGTATAGCTGACTTACTTTTCAGCAGAAACATTGGATCCAACAGAATATAACAGTTGAAGTTGGTCCTAAAATACATAGAAACATCAAGACAATTAATAAGGAATATAATGGATTAAATCCAAATGTTTTCTAAACAATCCAACCTTTGAATTAATCAGACACTAAGTAATTAAGAGCAAAAAATAATTTACTGACTCATTTCATTTTCTAAAAAAAGTAACCTTCTTAAAAAATCACAGCTCTGGTCTACATTGCTCAGTGGTTAGCATCAGTCTGCAGACCAAAGGGCCACAGGTTTGATTCCAGGTCAAGGGCATGTACCAGGGTTGCAGGTTAGTTCCTTGCCCAGTCAGGATGTATGTGGGAGGCAACCAATTGATGTGCCTCTCACATATCCATACTTCTCTCTCTCTCCCCCGACCACTATCTAAAAAAAAAGGAGTGTTAAGATGGCAGCTGGCAGGACAGCAGTGAGGGAGAAAGTGTGAGTGAGGGAGCGAAAAGGTAGTGTATGGACGTGTGGTGTGTGTGTGAGTGAGGGACAGTTAGATCCTGCAGGGGCTGGCAGACTGGGCTCTCCTAGATGGGGAGCCCCTGATACCACTGCAAGCACTCCAGGGGATGCTGGCTCTGGAACAGAAATCACGCAATCTTGAAGGGGAGAGCTGCCGTGACTAGGAGCCCAGCCTCACCACCACCCAGACTGGCCAAAGACACCATCCAGGACCCTGTACCACTCTGGCCAAAGACCTGCTACCTCAACTACAGACACACAGCCTCCAGGACTCCAGCCTCCCTGGCCACAGCCTCCTGTGAGCCCCAGAGTATGCTCCTTCCCGCTAAGGCTGCCACTTCAGCCACAGGATCCGTACAACTCGGCACCTGGACCGCTTAATGAGACTCAGAATACCCACCCCTACGAACAAGTACACTGCAGAGTCTGCCCACTGGCTCGGTCAGAGCATTCGGGCAGGCTCCGCCTTCTGGCACAGACAGAACTGTCACCTGGCGCATGTCCTACCCACGGCCCAAGTCAGAGCTGCTGGTGCTACCTGGTGTGCCCAAACACAGGTCACAGAACCACACCGCATGTGCGCTGCCAGAGGGACCTAGGGCACCATCTTACCTTGGATGCCAAGGCCATACAGTGAATTGCATGCCAGAGGGCTCTGGGCCCACACAGGGAATTGCACACCAGGGGAACTGTGCATGCACCCCTGCCGACCTGAAGAATCTGAAGTGGACAACTGAGAAATCAGAACCAGGGGAGAAGCAGGGGTGTG